TATCTCTGTGTGGCTATTTAAGTATGTATATTGCACCATATGTTATTTGTGTAGCGCTGCACTATTTTTTTTGCTTATTGATCTATCTAACTGGTGGTATCAGTTTAAGTGCTGGTGGCTCATTACGAGATTTCTGTTATTATACCATTAAGCGCAGAAGGATTCAACACATTTTTATCAGTTAAATATATGTCTGTGACACTGGGCTTGGAACTGTATTTGTACATGCCAGAGACGGCCGAAACCATCCAAGTGCCTGCTACAGTATGTTTGGGCGGCACGAGTGTGTCATGTAATGACATGGTGCAAGGGAGCCGAGCAAAGCAGCCTCATGTGTGGGTCTGCGGGACAGCAGCGACGCAAGCCAGGAACAGAGCTGTCATTGCTGTTTGGACTGAAGTGGACTGAAGAGACTACCTGATGTGGAGAGAGATTGGAGAGGTAAATGAGCTTACAATCTATTAAGCTAGGCATAGGTTTTTTTTTTTTCATTTAACCAGTGGTGGCTGCAAGGTGAATGGAGGAATCCCCCCCCCCCCCCCCCCCCCCCCCCGCAGGGACACTGTATTCTGATAGCATCTCCCACTGCTGTAGTCACTGATCAACAAAATGCTAAGACTGACTGATTTTCCAGCGTGCCCTTTTTGACAGACCTTAGCCAAACAATGGACTGCTGTCAAACAGGGAAGGCCACAGACAGATCAAAATTTGGCTAGTCCCTGGTGAACCTGTTGAATTTTTTATCCATGAATGCCCGGCTTAGGATGTAAAAGAGGATACAGAATGTGAATCATCTTACAGTCTAATAGGGTATAAGAAAGGGATACATACGGTGACATTCTTTACATTCCATCAGAGAATGATAAAATAGCATTGTAGAAGATCTACAACCAATATTGTAAAGAGACCACACACACCACACACACACAATAAAATTAATTAACATCTACTAATACATAAATAAAGTATGCTGCACTAATACTGTATAATCGTCTCTGCTCTGAATTGTGCCACAAATCACAAGTGCTATTTAGCATACATATTCACCATCTTATTGTAATAATAAATACCACATGTACCATAGATATGTGAAGACATGCAAAAGTATATGTGTGTTGAACTATGTTAAAAAACAAAAGTGTCCATGAATATATATCCATTAAAAACTCCCAGAAATAATAAAGAACTTCCGCAAGTGAAAAACTCCTGTTTTGTGTTCAGGTGCAACACCTCCACCAACTCTTATGGGTTTACAAGCGTTTGAATTTTTTTTTAACACTTACAGTTCCCAATGCTGTCCAGAGCCTTTTTTCATCATGAAAAATGCTAGCAAAGCATTTTCAAGGTACTCAAATGGACAAAACACTAAACACAGGATGTTCCTACCAAGCTTGTCACACATTGTAATGAAAAATGCACACTTCAGACCTTTCCCACCCTTGGAAACAAAAGATATGTTAATGAACATTCACACCTCAAATTCCTCATGTAGACCCCCTGCCAGGTTGCCTTAATGACTCACTCCACCAGACACCTTTCCCTCCCTTGGAAACAAAAGATGTGTTAATGAATATTCACACCTCAAATTCCTCATGAAGACCCCCTGCCAGGTGACGTTAATGACTCCCTCCACCAGACACCTTCCCAACCCTTGGCTACAAAAGAAATGTTAATGAGCAACTCACACCTAAGCTAATCTCAACACATACTGCTCTCCCTGCTTCTTCTTTCTGTATTTCTCTGAAACAGTCTGAAATAGTTAATAATTTACCACTTTTCAGTGCATTCTGGGCATTTGGGAGGTTCTCCTGTGCTTATCTTTAAAAAACGCTTCTAAACGCAAATGCGCATAAACGCACATAAACGTGCTATGCAAGCATGGCTAAACAGACTTTTTTTTAACCTATGTTTTCCAGCAGTCAGTTTCCATCGTTCAGAAGTGTCCCATGTACATGGGGCCTAAATAAAAGGTCTTATGTGCATATCCTTTTTAGAATCTGGACAGGGTCATCACTCCACGGATCTTTCCAGATCTCATCAGACATCTATCCACATAACTGGCTTAGAGAGGTACAAAAGGAACACCATAGTGCTCTCCATAAATCAAAATATTTATTAATTTATAGAAATACATACATGTATGTGAAGACTTTCACTTGAACCCTTTCACTGCCAGGCCTGCACTCCACTTTTAAACTCAGATGGCCAAACCATTTTCACAGCTTCTCCATTGTTTTTTTTTTATTTTTCCCTTACAGCTTTCAGAGTTTGTTAAAGACCGCCCACCCCCCCCCCCCCCCCTCCAAACCATACATTTTCTGAAAGCACATGACCTATAGAATAAAGAAATGTGCTACTGATTTTTTTAGGCCCCACAATAGTTGCACAAATGTTTATTAATTCGGTATATTCATTAACAATACTAAAATAATAAAATTATTATCAATGGATACATATATGGCAAATCTTTAAAATTTCCTGATAAATATAAAAGATAAAACTGTATTGAGTTAATAAATAACAAATATCTGTACATTTTAAATAGTACCTTTTTATGAAATAGTAAATACTGAAGGTGAGCAAAACTGTAAATAAAAACAATTTACTCAAAATCTGTGTGAGCTCAGGGACATGAACCCAGACCCATGCAGATGACAATTTAGGAGCAGAGGGTATGTTTGTGCAGTTGCTACATCCAAATTGACATCAATGGGACTGCTTGTACAGGGATGCACATAACACCGATTCAGGTAAACCGAGACACTCAGAAGTATAGACTGTAGTATGCCCTATGTGAACAAAGCCTTACAGTTTTTTTTTTACAGTTTTATTTGGATCATTTTGTACTTTTTTGAGGGGGGTGAGTTGGGGGGGTAGGAGTTGAGAGAGGGGGGGGCTTTGGTGATATACGAGAAGTCTAAATAGATGTCTGATATCTGTTTTTTTTAAGACAGAGAAAGGGATTGAAGACAACCATTTTCTCTGAAGTCTCAGCTGCACAGTACATGAATGAATAGGAGTCTGAATAGAAACCCATGTTCATTCATAAACTGATATGTACATAGTAAACACAGTTTACTATGTTCAGTTAGCAATGGACACAGGAGCAGTCAATAGTGATCTCTGGCTATGTCCATTCAAGGAAAGGAGGGGACTGGTAAACACATGTTTACCAGCTCCCCCTTCCATTCCATCCTGACAGCTTCCCCCCCTCCCTGTGCTCCAGCAACAGCTGCAACCCGTGGGAGGAGGGGAGGGTAAGCCGGCTAGCAGCAGTTCACAGAGGGAGAGCCATGGATGGGGTGAGGGGGGTGGACAGCGGGATTGGGGAGGCGGAACAGCAGTGGGGGTGATTTCTTAAACATTTTATAACTCTGTTGCTCCCCAGCACCTAAAGCCAGAGGAAGGGCACGGAGGGAAGCTGACAGCAGGGATGCCGTTATTGATCACTGCCGACGGGATTGGTGCTGGGGGGGATCGGTGCTGGGGTGATCAGTGCTACAGGGAAGGGGGGTGGAGGTAGGGAGGGGGGAATTTTAGAGATGGCAAGGTATGTAAATTGGGGTTTGCAGTGGGGAGAAATGTCAGAGTCGCTGAAGTGACCATGAGCTTATAGAAGAAGGAGAAAAGTCATGTCCGTATGGCATGTGGGCCTAGCCAGCTGGAAGCAGTGCTGTAGGTCCATACACCATATAGGCCTGGCAGTGAAAGGGTTAAATCACAAATGCTGGGGAGACAATGAGCCTGCCACTGTTATAGAGCGTTCACACTGATCATCTCCACGGCAGAGCCTCTTCTCACAAGCAACCTCCATTTGCACCACCCAACATATTTTATCACCACAGTGCTATCAGAGGCATTATGTAGATGAACAGAGTGAAGGCCATTTTACCAGTAGCAGGCTCATTTTCTCCCCAGCGTTTGCATTTGTGATTTAAAGCTAAAGTGATCTGTCTGCATGTAAGTGCAGTTTTGTTCATCAATACATATTTTGATTTGCAGTGAGTGGTGTTTCCTTTTGTATCTTTTGTACAAGCCTGTTATATGGTTCAATCCTTAATGCTTGATGAGATCTGAAAACATCAGCCCTGTCCAGGCAGTAAAAAGGATTTGTGCATAAACTGAAAGCATGCATATGACCTTGCTTGGTCTTAAGCTAGCTCTGGAGATTTTTTTTCACTCCCTCCTCTAGAAACACTGCAACAATTTAAAACCTCTCCTAAATAAGGTAATATTTCCTCTGCACATTCACTCTGGGCAAAGTGATAGATTCACTGAAAACATCTGTATTCATATCTGATAAACATTTTAAATATACAGGCAAAACAATTCTAAATTTAACCTCTTGCCGACCGCGCATAGCCGAATGACGGCTTCACCGCGGCCGGGCCAGTTCTGAGTGGACGTCATATGACGTCCTCCCAGAACGCGCTCTCCTGCGCGCCCCAGGGGGCGCGCACCCGGCGATCTCCATGATCGCTGTGTCCTACGGACACAGCTGATCACGTGATGTGGTGAAAGGCCGATCCCACCGGCCTTTTACCACGTGATCAGCGGTGTCCAATGACACGCTGATCACAGGGAAAGGCAAGTGCCGGTTCTCGGCTGCACTTTCCTCACGCTGTCAGATCGTGAGGAAAGTACTGCCGAGAACCGGCAGTTGTCAGAGCGGGGTTCGGCACCGATCATCAGGGCACTGATGATCAGTGCCCTGATGATCGGTGCCCAGCAGTGACATCCGCAAGTTCCGCCCAGCAGTGCGCCCACTAGCCCCGCCCACCCGTTCCCAGCAGTGCCCCCACCTGTGCCCAGCAGTGCCCCCACCTGTGCCCAGCAGTGCACCCACCTGTGCCACTCTGCAGTGCCACCTACCTGTGCCCAGAAGTGCCACCTACATGTGCCCAGCAGTGCCACCCACCTGTGCCCACTAGTGCCACCCACCTGTGCCCACCAGTGCCACCCACCTGTGCCCACCCACCAGTGCTGCCCACCAGTGCCACCCACCAGTGCAGCCCAGCAGTGCTGCCAGTCAGTGCCACCAGTCAGTGCCCAGGGGTTGTGCCAGTCAGTGCCGCCAGTCAGTGCCCAGAAGTGATGCCAGTCAGTGCCGTCTATCAGTACCCATCATCAGTGTCACCTATCAGTGCCGCCTATCAGTGCTGCATATCAGTGCCGCCTATCCGTGACCCCTAATTAGTACTGCCTATCAGTGCCAGTGAAGGAGAAAAAATACCTGTTTGAAAAATTTTATAAAAGAAACAAATAAACTTTTTTTTTTTTTCAAATTTTTTGCACTTTTTTAATTTATAGCGCAAAAAGTAAAGCGCCCAGTGGCGATTAAATACCACCAAAAGAAAGCTCTATTTGTGAGAAAAAAATGATCAAAATTTCATATGGGTACAATGTTGCATGACCGCGCAATTGTCAATCAAAGTGCGGCAGCGCTGAAAGCTGAAAATTGGCTTGGTAAGGAAGGGGGTATAAGTGCCTGGTAGGCAAGTGGTTAAAAAAAATCAACATTTAGATTCAAATCTCAGAACTTAAAAATAAAAAACTATTAAAATTAAAGGATGTGGGCTGCATGGATACCAAAATGCGTAACGTTGTAAAGTCTTCTAGTAAAAAATGTTATGTTACAGAATAAAAAATGGCTCAGGAGCACATAGCTGGGGTGGCATAGGCTGAGTTTCTTTCAATAAAGTGGGTTTCTTTGATTAAGTGGGCAACTCCACAATGCCTCATTTGAACATCTCTTCTCTGTCCTTTCACAGGTAATCTATGCATCTATGCTGCTGATTTTCACATCCACCTAAAACTGAAGCCAATTAATGTGTCTATCGGTAATCTATGCCAGCCTTTCTCAATCAGGGTGCCCAGGCACCCTGGGGTGCCTTGAGGCTTCTTCAGGAGTGCCTTCCCAAAATTTCTAAAAATTGGCCAAAACTTGTTTACAAGGCAGTGGGTGGAACAATAACAAAATAAAACAATTCCTCCTAAGTGTGGGTGTGATGGACCAGGGTAACTCGACAGGATCCCCTATGAACACATATCCAGGGATATTGAGGCCTTGCTGCCCTCCTATGACTGCGGAAGTCCAGCAGTACTGCAAAGAATCAAAGAAAAGAAAGAAAGGCACACCAGCCTAGTGCATTATCCCAGTGGGTTTATTGGTAGTATGGAGAGCTGACCTGGTTAGCTCTGATAAAGAGGGGTACCCTCAAAATGAGTAAGCTGTCTTGGATCCTGGACGGCGCTTCTGCCGGTGTTGGGTCCATTTGGGTCTATACATCAATTGCTTGATGAAGGGGTCCTGCGAGACTCCAAAGTGTTGCCTTGCTGTAACTATGTGATCTTTTATTAAAACATCTGGACCCATATTGGTGAACCTTGGTGTGCTGGTGTCATTCTCCCTTGTTGAATCTATTCAGTTCCAGCTGACGGTTGCTGCAGCACCCATTTATACACACAGCCATCTTTAACGCAGGAACGTGCGTGTGTGGATTGTACACTTTACATCAATTGTGCCACGAATGTTGGTTTCACGTGCCATATATCACTTGTGTTTGTGAGTATGTGTTTAGCTCTTCAAACTACCATTAAACCTATGAGCATAATTCACTAGGCTGGTGAGCCTTTCTTTCTTTTCTTTGATTCTTTGCAGTGGGTGGAACAAGCATGCCTTTCAGTTACACAAAGCCACAGGTTTTCATTGTGCAACATTATGACCTTCTAGCCGCTGGCGTCCTGACAAACATTGACATTATAAATTGATAAGGAGGATGTCAACTGCCTGTACAGCATCCTAGTTTGACCCTCCTCTGCCCCTCTCCAGCAGTGCTGGGGTCACATTAGCTCAGTCAGTGATGGGGAAAAACTGAGGGAGAAGAGAAACACTGGAATACTAGTCAGTACCAGTGTGCGAAAGTGTATTTTCTTTGGAAGAATAAATCACCTCTAATGTCAGGTGTCCTATGTGTGTGGATGTTGCTGCATTATATAAAAAACTATTAAAATAGTTTTTCACATTTTAGAATGGGGTGCCTCAAGACTGTCCATAATTTTAAAGGTGCTTTGGGACTGTCCATAATTTTAAAGGGTGCCTTGACTGAAAAAAGAAACACTGATTTATGCAAGTATATTGCTGCTTTCACCATGTAGCCCGATCCAAATGATTGTGATTAGAGATGAGCGAAGTATTCAAAAATTTGATTCGGCTGATTCGGCGAATTCGAGGAATAAATTCGATTCGATGCGAATATATTCGCTGCGATTTTAACTTATAAAAGGGTGTTTCTAGGCTTCAGAGAGCCTTTATATTAGTGCAGAACACTGTACCTTAATTTTAAATGCCCTTGGAGTCTGCTGGGGAAGAGAAATAATACTGTCAGTCAGTATGACATGCAGATGAGTGCCGTCGATGTTAGAATCACCGCACACTTCACTCATTTGGGCAGTCACGGGGCCAAAACCAGAGTGTGGAGCCACAGTGCGGTGGTGGAGGCAGCAGCAATGGGAGGCCATACAGCACCCTATGACAAAAATAGAACCCACCAGCAGTGTGAGGAGACCTGAAAGTGGCACATGGCAGAGTGTGGCGATGGAGACAGCAGCAATGGGAGGCCGTACAGGGACCCATGACACACTCTGGACCTGGCAGCAGCATTAGGAGGCGGTACAGGGGGCCCATGGCAGATTACGGGCCTGGCAGCAGCAATGGGAGGCCCGTAATCTGCCAGCACCCTATGACAAAATGGAACACACCAGCAGTGTGAGGAGACCTGAAAGTGGCACATGGCAACATGGCAGAGTGTGGTGATGGAGACAGCAGCAATGGGAGGCCGTACAGGGACCCATGAGAGACTCTGGACCTGGCAGCAGCATGAGGAGGCGGTACAGGGGCCCATGGCAGATTACGGGCCTGGCAGCAGCAATGGGAGGCCCGTAATCTGCCAGCACCCTATGACAAAAAATGGAACACACAAGCAGTGTGAGGAGACCTGAAAGTGGCACATGGCAGAGTGTGGCGATGGAGACAGCAGCAATGGGAGGCCGTACAGGGACCCATGAGAGACTCTGGACCTGGCAGCAGCATGAGGAGGCGGTACGGGGGCCCATGGCAGATTACGGGCCTGGCAGCAGCAATGGGAGGCCCGTAATCTGCCAGCACCCTATGACAAAAAATGGAACACACCAGCAGTGTGAGGAGACCTGAAAGTGGCACATGGCAGAGTGTGGCGATGGAGACAGCAGCAATGGGAGGCCGTACAGGGACCCATGATAGACTCTGGACCTGGAAGCAGCATGAGGAGGCGGTACAGGGGCCCATGGCAGATTACGGGCCTGGCAGCAGCAATGGGAGGCCCGTAATCTGCCAGCACCCTATGACAAAAAATGGAACACACCAGCAGTGTGAGGAGACCTGAAAGTGGCACATGTTTGGGGCATGATTCATCGCGGATTTAGTCAGTTGTGTCAGGAACTGGTGGTTTGAAATCCAGACTAATCCACGCCTGATTCATTTTCACAAACGTGAGTCTCTCCACACTTTGGGTGGACAGTCGTGTCCTCCGCGGAGTTACAATACCTCCTGCCGCACTAAACACGCGCTCCGATGCCACGCTACTGGCCGGGCATGACAGCCTTTCAAGGGCAAATTCAGCTAGTTGGGGCCAAAGGTCAAGTTTCGTTGCCCAGTAGTCAAGGGGATTGTCTACCTCGGTTGGCAGGGTGCTGTCCAAGTAGGCCCAAGCCTGTTGTTTGAGGTCCTGCTCCAGGTCCACCTGATGCTGCTGCTGCTGCGGCTGGTTAGTAGTTTCCTCACTGCGCTGGTGAAGAAAGCTACTCATCATCGACTGCAGACTGAGGCAGCCGCTGCTGGTGGAGCTGCCACTGCTCCTACCACCCCACCCCTCCCCTGCTGCCTTGGCAGCGGAACGCGAGCGCACAGGGCCCACAGTGTCTGAGGATGGACGTTGGCGCAGAAAGGCAGAGACCAGCTGACTATATAGGTGGTTTTTATAGTACTTTATTTTGGCCTCCCTCTCAGCAGGTGTGAAAAAGGCCACCATTTTTGAACGGTAGCGAGGGTCCAACAAGGTGGACAGCCAAAAGTCATCCCTCTGTCTGATGGTTATTATTCGGCTGTCGCTACGCAAGCAACCGAGCATGCTATGGGCCATTTGTGCCAAGGAATGCGAGGGACTCCCTGCCTCCATCTCCACAGCATACTGCCACGGGGGCCACGGTGCATCTGGGTCCTCTGTCTCCTCCTCCTCCTCCTCTACCAGATGCTCCTGCTCCTCCACTCCTGTCCGCTGAGTGGAAAAAACCACCCATTTCACTCAATAATTCCTGAGCACCAATGTCCTCCTCTACCTCCTCCTCTTCTTCCTGTCCTGCCCCCACAGGGGTCATGTGGCGTTGAGATCTGTGCGCCACGTCTACCGCACCCTGACCAGCCATTGTTAACAGCATTTGTTCCAGGACGTGCAACAGAGGAATGACGTCGTTCATCCCATAGTCCTGCCGACTCACGAATAGCGTGGCCTCCTCAAAGGGCCTGAGCAAGCGGCAGGTGTCACGCATGAGCTGCCAATGGCTGACATCTAAGTTACACAGGGAGTACCTTTATCCGCTTGTAACATCAGGAAATCTGTGATGGCCTTTCGCTGTTCGTAAAGGCGGTCTAACATATGTAGGGTTGAATTCCACCTTGTTGCAACGTCACAGCATGAGGAGTCGGTACGGGGGGGCCCATGGCAGATTACGGGCCTGGCAGCAGCAATGGGAGGCCCGTAATCTGCCAGCACCCTATGACAAAAAATGGAACACACCAGCAGTGTGAGGAGACCTGAAAGTGGCACATGGCAGAGTGTGGCGATGGAGACAGCAGCAATGGGAGGCCGTACAGGGACCCATGAGAGACTCTGGACCTGGCAGCAGCATGAGGAGGCGGTACAGGGGCCCATGGCAGATTACGGGCCTGGCAGCAGCAATGGGAGGCCCGTAATCTGCCAGCACCCTATGACAAAAAACGGAACACACCAGCAGTGTGAGGAGACCTGAAAGTGGCACATGGCAGAGTGTGGCGATGGAGACAGCAGCAATGGGAGGCCGTACAGGGACCCATGAGAGACACTCTGGACCTGGCAGCAGCATGAGGAGGCGGTACAGGGGCCCATGGCAGATTACGGGCCTGGCAGCAGCAATGGGAGG